ATAAATATAACTACAGAGTCTTCAGGCGTCCCCTTCGCCGTCTTCCTGCGGAACGGGCTCGGGAACAATGTCTTCCTGATTTGAAATGATTAAATAAGGAATGAGCTACACCAGCCCAGTAAAGACATCACACTATCTCACCGTCACGGAGGTAAAGGTGGGTAGAAAACACAAAAAGACAAATGGAGCATAATTTACAACAAATTCTTTTATCAATAATAAAATCCTTTACTATCCACTTAACTCGATGAAATTCATAAAACAATATACGAAAGCAATAACATTATCATCATCATGAAATCATATGAGCTGTATAACATAATACTTATCACACCTTTTGCAATTCAATCATTACACAACATATTTTTCCTCATTTACCAGCCTACTAGTATCCATGGGGATCCATAGGGGTCCCGCTACCCGTGAACCCTTAACATTTGTAATCAGATTCCAGGGCCGTCCCCATACCCCGTCTGGTATGGGCGCCAAAACTATAAACCTCAATACCCCGTCCGGTATGAGGGTGAAACGGGCCATCCCCATACTCCGTTCGGTATGGGCGCCAAAACACATAAGGTCTCCATACCCCGTCCGGTATGAGAGACCACAATCCCGGTAGGGTTCCCTACGGACCCGGTCCGTCCACCATCTCCCAAGATATCTAGTCAGGCTGACCACATTATGCAATTATCAATTTACATAACCTTTCATTCCCCTTTTTCCCAGTCAGCATCATCAATTCACACTCAAACAAGCAAACCAGTAATTTATGCCAAACAAGACAACACGCAACATCGGGTTCTCAGTCATTCAACCCATAATCAATAAAAACAGTAAAATATGCACACAAAACTATGAAATAAAAATATCAGACCTCATACTGCATTTAAAACCGTAAAATAGGCCAAATAACAGCTAACCGACAAACACACCAGACTCGGGCTCCATTAGCGATCTTAAACAATTTCACACATCTGTTGATTCATAAAATACCGTTTTATCATTTATTGAACTTTAATACCGTGATAAGAAATAGGGTGAGGGGTCCTTACTTGTTTCGGGGTCCGAATACGGTTCTACAGTCCGCCTACAGGCTGTCCCTAATTTTCCCTGAATTTTTTTCGGGGAACTGAAACGCACTACTAGTACCTGCACGTGTCCCAAAAAAATCCCAAATTAGACACAGGGCCCCTTTCGGCCAATATCGCAATTCCGGCACGGCAGCTCCGCCGTGCTCCGGCGACGGCGCCGCCGCTTGCGGCAGCGATTCGTCTCGGGTTGGCCGTTTTCGGTCGTTTCCGGTCGAATTCGGCCACACTTGCATCGGTCCCTGCGATAAAACAACCCTATGGCCCTCGGGGGGCCAAAAAATTACGAAAAACAGAAGCTTACCGGCGGCGGTGCTCTCGGATGCGGCGGCTCTCCGGCGAGGTTCGTGTTTTGGTGATTTGGCTCCGATCAACCTGTAGAGAAAAGAATGGTGATCACGATGATATAAAAATTGTATCAAACGGAGGCCGGGAAGGGCCTCATCGAAGGCAAAAATCGAGGAGGGGCGCGGCGCCGCCGCTGGGTTTCGGCCGTGTTTTCCGGCCGTTTGGCCGGGATTTTGGCTCCGATTTGGCCACAGGGAAACTCAGCATTGAAAAACGAGCTGTGAGTATGAAATTTACCTCGATCGGCGGTCGAAAAACTCCCCGGTGCGGCGGCGGGTGGCGGCGGCTGGCTCCTCCAGCGTCTGGTTCGTCTTCTCCGGCGAGGGCAGGCGGCTAGGGTTTTTATGGTCAGGTGTGGGGGTTTTATTCCCTTTTGGCTTTTAATCACAGCCGTCTATTTTGATTAAATCTGGGTCGTTCGTACTTGATTGAATCTGGGCCGTCCGTGCGCGTGCATCTGGGCCGTCCGTGCGCGTGCATCTGGGCCGTCCGTGCACACGTTTGATCTGGGCCGTCCGTGCGCGCGGGGACGCATCTGGGCCGTCCGATCGCGCGCACGCGGATCGCCCACGTGGCCCGTTCCCGGGTGAACGTGGTCTTGCCACGCGGCAGGTCTTGGTTGGCCAGGGCTGCTGACTGGGCCGCTGACGTGGCTGCTGACGTGGCGTTGACGGGGCACAATTTTTTTAAATTGCGTTTTGACCCCCGGTTTCCGATTTTCTTTTCAAAAATACCCCCAGAATCCTAATTTTCACCTTTTTTTTCTAAAATCAATTTCAATTAAATCCAAATAATATTTTTACCCAATTTTTTCATTATTATTATTTTTATTTTTATTAAATTATATTAAATAAATCAATTAAAATTCAAAAATTATAAAATAAACTAAATAAAATTAATAATAATAATAATAAAGATTATAAAATTAGTGGGCGTTACAAATAATGAAATTATAATAATCAAATTAAAAATTATCACAACAACAAATAACAAAAAAAAAATTATAATAATTAAATTTTTTAATTAAAATAATCATAATTAATTAACATTCAACGAGACTTTTTATTTACTAAAAAAATTACATGCGTCAAAATTTAATTATTTCAATTCAAACAAGTATTCTTCATGCATTTAGATAGGCATAAATACCAATCCCACCAATTTTTAAATTATAACACAGTTTGAATTATTCTCATCAATTTAGACTTACCATTAAAAAATAAATAAAAACTTATGGAACTAAATCAACCAAGTCATTAGTTTATGGTTGGATCAATCAATCTAGTTTTAATAACGTGGGCTAAGGTGAGAAAAAAAACCAAATAGATAAAGAGGATCCATTCTAGATTACCATTTTGAATTTTGCATATATGGTGAGAAAACTTCACATCAATTTTCTTTTTCGGTTACTGTATAATAAAGATTGCACAATCCATAACTCGAATCTATACCCTTAAAAAAAGGGGTGAACATCCAACTAAGACAATGTTTGAGAGAACCTCTGAACACTTGCTCTATAATACAAAGGGATCACAAGTGACCAATGCCCCATAAGAACTACTCCCACTTTTTGTTTTCCTATCTGGAAAATTGTTCTATCTCAAATGAAAATGCATATCTTTTTTCACCAAGTGAACAGAAAATTTTTATCCAAAAAAAGAGAACAGCCAAACTAAATCTGCAGAAGATATCTATTCTTGTATGCAACTCTCAACTTCTCCGCTCTGTATTTTTCGGATCCAAAATTCCTGCCAAAGGTCAAAATTATTCAATTTATGATCTCTTGAATGAAGTATCAAATACTATTACTTACAAGCAAAATATGTAGTAGAGACTCAGAGAAACGAACTAAAGAACCACAATGAGGATTAAGGATTGAACCCGAGTTTTTTCCTCCATTGTCAACACTAATTAAAACCGAATCAGGCATCTAGAATGGTGGAGAAACTACCTGTGGACTTTCCTCCATAACTAACAGCTACATGTTCAAAAAATTCCTTGGTAGCATCTGCACATTGATAATGACAAGAAGAATAACAACAAAGATATATACGAGAGAGAAAAGATACTTGAATGCAGCTTTTTAACTCAAACTAAACAATATGATTTCTTCATAATTCAAAAGTTCATTCACAAAACATACCATGTTTCATCGTTAGAGATGGATCTTGCTCGTTAACATATCCAATCACTTTTGCTGGTATTCCGGCAACCATGCTTCAGAAGTACCAAAAACAAGGTTCATCATTTTGACTAATATTTCAGAATGAATAAATAAACATCAGGAATATTTCCTACCTGTGTGGAGGAACATCCTTCAACACAAGGGAACCGGCTGCTATCATTGCACCCTCACCTACTCTTATGTTCCCAAGAATAGCCACACAGGCCCCTAGAAGTGCACCTTCATCTACCTTTGGATGGCGATCACCAACTTCTTTACCAGTACCTCCCAACGTGACACCCTGTCAACAGCATCATAATAAGCGTACTGAAAGCTAAAAGACAGGGAAAAACCAAGTGAAAATCTTCCCTTCCCCTCCCTCCAAATTCATAAAGTGGTAAAAGAGGGAATAAACAAATCGACTTACATGCATCAATGAAACACGATTTCCTACAACAGCAGTCTCCCCAATAACCACACCAGTTGCATGATCCAACAGTATCCCCTCCCCAATTCTTGCAGCTGTCCAGAATCACCAAATTTTAGATGTATTAAGATTCAAGTCAGCCTCAAAGAATGGCCAGAAAACTTTCATCTATTGCACGATCCTCAAACAAAAACCCCTTAGCACAACATGATTTGTGAGAGCTTATTTGTTCTTTGTCCCATAAAAAGAGTTTCTCTAATAACCATATCATAGATATATAGATTGTACATCCATATAATTACTTTAAAGCTACCGTATACAGCATATCTCCAACATCCTTTAATACAAGAGTTCCGCTGCTGTTCTCAAGAACTACCAATAAAATGTAATCCCAAATTGGTAATCAAAGGAAAATAGAACATACCAGGGTGTATGTCAACTCCAAAAACCTGTGAATTATGCAATAAACATGTAAGAAGTTAAGATAGAGAAACAGAAAGTGCATAACACTTGTCACCAAAAATAGAAGAGAAAACCACCTCACTAATCCGGCTTTGCAATGCCAGTGCCAATACTTTGCGTCCTTTCGTCCACAAGGCATGAGCCACTCGATATGATTGCAGAGAATGGTAACCCTGCAGTAATCAACTAACTTTATGTTGTAACGATATATGTGTATCTTCATGTCATCTGTCAAATTCCAATGTACTCACTCCAAATTGAGCATGAATATCTCATAAAATTTTTATAGTGTCTATGTTATACCACCTTAAAGTACAAAAGAGCTGAGCTATAAGACAAACAAGCAGGATCCCTTTCCTTGAATGCCTGTGGATATAGAACATTTAGAATACATGTGTATATTTATCAGCTTTCTCTGAGTAAATATAATCATTAATTAGCAGCAGAAATCAATAGAAATTCACTCGTATATTTTGAAGATCAAGCAAAGCTACCTGCACATCAAGGCGAATTGATCTTTGGATAGCTTTATCACTCATCATAACATCATAAAATATATCCACTAGCTGAGTTGCCAAAAGAGTAGGATTTTGAAGACGATTAGCAAGAACAAATCCCAGTGCTTGCTCCAAACAATCATGGGACAATATACTAGCATATAAGAAGCTGCTCAGAATTGGCTCTTTTTCTGCCTGCAATGAATGGTTCCAAGAAACAGCAACAAAAGTATAAACAAACAATAGAGTTTCTCAAGAGCTCCCACGAAGAACTCAAGGAAAATAAGGTTCAGTTTGCTAAATGAAAATATATGACGTGTTTACATAAAACGCATACGTTATCGTACGTATATGTCTTTACACAATCTAAACGACCAAATTCAGGCACCTATAGCTAAAGATCACTAACTCGTGGAATAATTCATCGCAAAACTTTTGATCAAACAGATAGGTGGTGATCTACAAAGATCGGAAATATGCACGAGCCAGCCATTGACAAAGAAAATTTTGCAAACTCCAAACAAACACTTGCAATACTGGTTTTGGTCATATCTCGTTCTCAACAAAACCCAAGCCACCCTCCAAGACAACAATCAACTCAAGTGTAACGCAGGAGCATTATTTTAATGGTGAAAGACCATCAAAAGCAGACGAAGAACGAAAATAATAATAAAAAGCTGATTAAAAAAAAAAAAAAAAGAGACAGCGATGAAGAAATAAAGGATTAGTACCTCCAACTTGGCCTCTTCTCTGACAGTGTCCCAAATCGGGTCGGCACCCGAATTGGAGAAGGAGAGGACAAAGTCGGAATCGGGCTTCGGAATCCCTATTGCATAGACTGGAAAAACCTTCTCGAACGGAAACTCACAAGCGTTGGTTTCTTCCTCCCCGTCTTCTTTGATAGACACACTTTTGGATAGCATCTTGGGAAGAGAATCCCAACTCTCATCGCTTAAACAAGCCATGAGCCGGAGAAGGATAAGACGAAAAACAAGGATTGGATTGAGGAGAAATGGGTCGCTTCATCAATATAAAAGCCTCCGGATTTGCATTCCGAGACGAGATACAGGCGTTGCCGCTGAGTGGGCCTCGAGCAGCCAAGTGCGACTGCTTCTCTTTCAGTTACAATTCAAGCTCCAGTAACCAGGCTCTCAGTTCCCGAGAGGTGAAACTGAAGACGGAGATGACGTATTGTCCACCACCAACTTTTCTAATACATGGCTCCGACCCTTCTCTCCTTTCCTTTAGCCGCTTAAAGGGTTTCGTCTTCTAGCTTATATGGATTGACTATTAATTAAACCTATAAATTATTATTTTTAAAGAATTATAGAAATAATTAATTTTTTAAAAAACTTTAAAAAGAATTCTACTAGCAGAAAATAAAAGTTTTTTTTTTTTAAAAAAAAAAAAACCAATACAACTTGCGGAAATAGATAAAACAGCAATTCTTATTTAGTTAGTAATTAATTGTATATTTTTTAAATGTTATAGCTAGATAAATAATTTGAAAAAATTTAATAAAATTTTGATCAAGTAAATAGTAAATATCTCTGACTTTTATATAGTTACAAAAAAGAGTACAATTATGTACAATAAAAATTTTAAAGATAAAAATATAATTTTTAAAAGTACCATATAAATAGTAGAAGAACTAACTTAACTATTTATGTAAATAAAAAATGTCAAATTATGTGCGTGAACATATTTAATTTTTGGGTGATATTTATAAGATAAACAATATATAATTAAGTCTAAATAACCTTTAAATATTTGGAAAGCCTATTTTTGAAAGATGATATAGAGAATTGTATTTAATGTATATAAAAAAAATAATAATAGAGTTTTTGGATTTGATTACTTTAAATTCAAAAAAAGTTTTTATCTTTGTTATAAAAATAAATAATTATGACAACAAATTAATAAAAAAAAATAGCTTAATATGGTATATAAGTCAGAACAAATTAACAAAATTGTCAAATTGCCAATTGCAGTAGATAATAGACAGAGACATGGCATGATTTTTACTCATTTACTAATTCTTCTCGTAATTTAAGAATTTAATTATTTTATAATTTGATGCTGGACTGTGTAACTCGAATCAGGAAAGATTACCCAAAGAAAAAATAAAGATTTTTGTTCTAAAGTTTTCCGATATATATTGAAAAAAATAAAAACCAAACAATTATCGATGAATCACATAAAAGATTAGTATAGTAAAATCTACATTTGAAAGAGAGAAAAAACAAACATTTAAGAAGGAAATATAATATTTTATATACATGTAAAGCTGCCACAGAAAACAACAATAAAAGTACAATTGAAAAGCAGAATCATGAACTGTGTAGGGACGCAGAGAGGAGGATGATCAATTTGTATATGATTCATGTTAACGGCCAGGAACATTCTCAACTTTTTTTTTTCTTTCAATTACATATAAATACAAAATAGTAATTTAATCCCCACAAAACTTTTAACTTTTTAATTCCGACACCCGGTGGACTAATTGTTCCTCCAATCACTCCCCTGAAATTGATGTTTCCATAATATTATAAGAAATAATAATATCGTGTTACTCAATAAATCATCCCCCGTAAGCACGCACGCACACACACATGTTTGTTATAAGCGTTTTATTGTTTTTTGTTATTAATCTATTCCAGATTTCAGAAATTTGGAAAATATAACTTTTAATTTTTTTCAATAATTAAATTTCTTAAACTAATCATAAGAGAATCATTTGTGGAGGAATTAAAACTGATAATTTAACATTTCATTTTCCCTTAGATTTATGTCAAAGTTGGATAGTGTTATTACTATTTTAAACTTTGGATAATATTTTTATTTTATTTTTTGATCTCTAAAAGTATTATATAAATCTATATTTCAACTCATTTGAATTTTTAATTTTAAAAAAATATACAATACTGCTGAGTTTGAGGTTTTTTTTTTTTTATTTATAGATAATAAAGTGATGCTGAAGGATTGATTTATAACAATTTAGTGCCAAAGTATTTCGTACTCTACTTACTTTCCTCACTTCTAATTAAGTAGAATTTAATTTTTTTTATTACTGATTTTTATACAATTTTCTTAACCATTTTTGTTATTGATTTGGAAAAAAAAAAAAAAAACATTACCCCTTAAAATATTTCCAATGTCCTCTCCCTCCTTGTGGTGGTTGCCAAGTCTCCCTTGGCCTCTTTTTAGAGAAAAAAGAAGTACTTATAGTTCTATTCGCATTAAGATTGCTTGCTTTATAGAGATAAACGATATCGTTTTCCGTCAATTACTTTATAATTTTTGACGAGCCACAAGGTGACTAGTGTGGTCGAAAAAAAGCTCTCAACTATCCAAATCAGAGCCAAACTTCCAACCTTGTCAAATACTATTTTCTTAAAATATTTTGCTATCACTCAATCTGAGATAAAATTACTCAAGTTTTTAATCTTGCAGCCTTAAAGCGACATTACTGCATTTTGCAGTTAAGGTGTGGTGGATCATTCTTTCTAAATCTTCTGAATATCAATCAAATGTTTGTTCATAAGAAATTTTATAAAAAAGAATGTTACTGAAAAAAAAATAATATAAACTGACAGACGGAATAATTTGAATAACATCATTCATCAAACTTTGAAGTGAGGTTGATGAGTTCTGAGCCTAGGGGCATAACCATTATTGAGTGCTGAAAGAAGTCTTCTAGATGTCTTCAGTCTTGATTTGATGATGTTTTGAACATAAATCAAATTTTAGAGAGATTGGCTGCCGTAGAAGTTTATTAAGCAATTCTTTGATCATAATAATTTAGAAGCTATTTTTGATAGAGAGAACAGTGAAAGTTTTGTATATTAGTAATATGTCTTTAAATCAATTGCAAAGGGATGACATTATAATTTAATAGTTTTATTTTTTTGCTAAACATTATTATTAATAAAAGCAATGTGTATTTATCACGAGTTATTCATTTTGAATTGAATAATCCTATCTTTAACATATTCATTTTAACATTGACAAAATCCTTATAATGCTTGAATAAAAATTAAAAATAAAAATTACAAAAATGGAGAGTCTATTTCTAGTCTTCAAATGCTTTCAGTTGTACATTCACAAACATGAGACATTTAGTTTTGATAGATCACATCATTATTCAAAATGATGTGATCTATCTCATTGTTTAGTTGTATAGCTTATACAATAGTAATTGTATTGGGATTCCTATTTTAGGATCTAATTACGGTTTGGCAAGAATAAAATCAGATTGAAGGCTAGCGTTCTTAGATGCTCTTATTCCTTTATGACTCGTTAAGAACAAAATGGGTTTGTTTCAAAGAACTCAACAGTCTCTTGAGCTCTAGAGTTTTAGAAAAAGAATTCTTTAACTTTTTTCAAAATACTTTTCTAATTTATTTTTCATTCTTAAAACATCTTATAAATACATATATTGAAAAGAAGAAAGTAAAACTTACCCCTATGAGTAACTAACTACCCAACATAGAACTATTTATGAATAAATAATGACCACCTAAAACTGTAAGTACTGAGAACTAAGACAGAAAATGGATTTGACTGACTTAAAAGTCCACAACATCACTTTCCTCCCCTAAAAGGGCGCTTGTCATCCAGTGCTAGAGTTGGATAAAACTTCTACTTGCAGTTTTATGCGTTGCAATGCTATGTTCTTCCATACTTTGTTGAAGCAATATATAATTCATTTTTGTTGAAGCAATATGTACTTTATTTTTGGTATTGTTGATATTCAAAGTACTTAGCATGTATATCTAATTGCTTCCGTAGATTCACTATAATTCTATTGGTAAAGTTTTTCTAAAGATTAATACTAATTATGTTTAGATTCGTATATATGTGGCTTGGTTTTCCCATTTAACTAAAATAGTTGTTTATATCGAATATAATATTTTTAGTGAATTCACTATATTTTACTAGTAGATGAAAGGGGAATCTCTATAAAGCTTGTTTCCAAATATGACATAGTTACAATTAGATGTACATGAACTCCACCAATTAATTCATATGCCGAAAGTCCACTGCAAGCTTAAAGAATGTGAAGAATGTCGAAACTCCACCAATTAATTCCAAAAATGATATATTGTATCCCCATTTGTTTTGCTTTTTTAATTTGTAATTTTATTTCTTTGAGTTGTATGAAGTTAATCATGCATCCATCAAGCGAAACACGCTTTTTTTAGGAAATTTTAGATGTAAGTTTTTTGTACTAAATGTTTGTTCAGTTATTGCCTTTTTCTGTTTTTAAAAGTATTACATATATCTCACGTTCATTTTATTGTTCTTATCAATATGATTTGTTGATGTTATAATTTTTTGATGTGTAGATCTTTTGGTCGTTAACAATTTAGTTTTTATGTATTATATTCATTTTAAGAGTAAAGATAATTGTTTAACTTTCTTTTTATTTTATCAAATAAGACAATACTTAGTCAGAATTAAAATATGTGTTTTATCACATTAAAAAATTTCTTAATGATTATTTTTGCCCTCGCCAAGCGCTGTAAATGTTTATATCTTTAGTGGTTATTCCTGAAAAATGTATTAGACAACTTAAGGTGTATGTTATTGACAGACTATGAATAATTTGCGGAGAGAACTCAGAGATAACAGATCTGTGTAGCGTGAGTTTTTCTTCAATCTAAATCTGGTTGAAGCATCATATAATTCTCTGCTTAGTTATGTATATTCTTTTGGATGTTTGGTTGTGTCTCTATGATCCCTGTAAATCATAATTATGGGCTTTTTCATATCATTTGGACCAAACTAGGAATTTTGGATGTTTCCCTATTCTGAATTGGATTTTTTCTTGCGAAACGTCTTGTTGCCTTTCATGCTCAAATGGAAAGATTGAGCGTGCTAGGATTGTTTTGATGAATTACATGAATGAACAATTGTTGACTACCATTGGATGTGTAAGGCTTCTTTAAAAAAAAAGATAAAACGAGGAAAAATGAATGTTAAACTGGGATTGGATTTCTCTTGGGGAGTGTTTTTTGGGGCTTATACTGATTTTGGAGGAATCTATTCATGGTTATGATTAAGAGAGGTCTTGAATTAGAATTTGTTCATTCACTTTTCTATATCAGAACCTTATAACTACTTGCGTACTGGATTTTTAAGCAAGTGCTTGTATGGATTTGCCTTTTTAATTATTTATTGTACTTTTAATTTCTTTTAATCACGATGAAACAATTTTATGGTAAATATAAATGAACTAAATTATGAATTGGTTAAAATTTTAATTCTATAATAATAAATTTGAATTTCCATTTGTAAACAATGATAAAATGGAATGGAAAAACTGTAATGTGTTCCAAGAAGATAGATGAGGTGCTTATGATTGATTCACTTTAAATACTTGTTTATATAGTAATAGACATCAATGGAACATTAACAGAGAAAATTAATCACCTTCAATTTTCACGAAAAGTTCTTCCCCAAAAACCAAAACCAATAATAAACCAATTATCACCATTTCCAAAATACATCTGTGGGTATTTAGCCAGTTGTTCTTTACAAATGCCAGATTTTATGTATGTATTCTTACCAAGTAAACTATTTGAGTATACAAATCCACCAAAACCCAAACCGTATAAACTAGAGTATTCAGATCACCACCTTAAAATCTCTCAACGCTGTAATAGCAGTCTGAAGCTGAAATCATATGGCATTACTTGCACTAATTGAGAATAAGGCTCTTTATCCCTTCTTTCCAGGCACTTCACTGCTTCATTCCTTAGCTCATCAGGCAGCTGCAGGCACACCCAATCAAGTAATGATTCCAAGTCCTTTGCAAAGTCAAGTAGATACCAATCTAAAACCTTTGGGAGTATTAACTTGTTTGTCTTTGAAATCCCAACTGCTGCCTGTAAATACTCTTTCTTTGCAGCTTCTAGCTCATCTTCTACGTTACAGGCTGTATACACCCTCACCTTCATTCCATGAAATTCAATTCATCAGCTAACGCTATTCTTTTACTTTTGAGAAGGGTTCGAGCTTAGACTCAGACCCAAGTCATAAACTTGTAGGTACTGGTATGTAAAAGCTATTCTTGGTTCATAAACATGTCAAAAGTAATAGTTTGCATGTATCTAAAGGTGAAAGAAGTTTTATGATGAGATACTGTAACCATAGCTCTTTTGGAACAGGTAAGTATTGACTTCTTTCCTTTGTTTATTTTTCTTTTTCTTTTTTTTAGTCATGATAAGGATATAGCAATGTGCCGATGTGAATGCTTTATTGAATCATAGATATTAATTTGACAAACTTACAGCAGGTGAGGACCAACTTCCACAAGCAAGTGAAAATGTAACCAAGGCTTCAGACCATTCCAATCCAAAAGTACTGCGAGCTTTGATTTCATCATTTTTTGCAGCCTTGGGACATGTCTTGATCGATTTGGAGGAAAGAAGAAGATGAATGAGTTCAGTGATGATCTAATTAAACTACCAAAGGCACTTATCTACAATGTAACAGTAAGTGGAATTGGGATGAATTTTACTTACAAATTTCAAGTGATAAGGAAGTCTCAAGATGAAATGCTCGATCGTAAGTGCATTTAGCAAGCGTCCCCCAACAGTAATTGTTGCCTGATATTAACAACATTCTATAGTCAAATGACAGAATTCTTGTCAATAATGTAAGTAAGAAGTAAGAAGAATGAGAAATAGATCCAACCTTTTGCATTAATGCTACTACCATTTCAGGCATCTCAGGAATGCCATGCTCCAAGAAAGCCTGCATTAACAATGGTGAAATGGTCTAAGTAACTAAAACCCACAGTTGATTCTATATTTATAGCTTTCTCATTTTGAGAAGATCAAAATTATCTGTAAGACACAAAACTTTCTTACATTTATCATGCAGGAGTTGTAAGTATTTATCCAAAATGCAAGTTTCTGCTGGTGAGAAAGACCCTCTAAATTTACAGAGGCAAGCTTCCCAAGTAAGATCCTGACATAATCACAAAAAGATATGGTGAACACAAGAGGATGGTTCAATCTCAACTTACAATAACAGAATCAAACCAAGTGCCTACTTTAGTCTATGGATAAGAAATAAAGCATTTGTTCTTCGACTGACATCGATGGAACTAGCTTCAATTGCATAGAGATGCTTATATGGACCAATATCTCTTTTGTTCACATCTTTGCAGATGCCATAAGGATCCTGAAACTCATTTTCTCGACTTCTTTCATGAGAATCTGATGCTGATCTAGAAGGAAATGGCCCTGATTCCACAGCTTTGTCCTTCAATGTTGTCATCCTGGTGAAAATCCCAATCAAGCACTTCACAATATCCTCTGATACTTTGTTTGGAGAGTTGTCTATTTTTGATACTTCAGCATCTGAAGAACCAGATTTGCTATCTTGTGCCTTTTCTTGATCTAATCCACAGTCTAGCTGGACAATTGAGCAGCCTCCACTTAGCATAACTAAATGAAACAGGAAAAAAGCTGTTGTAAAAGATCTTACAGCTGTATACATCTGTATTAGTACCTGTAATTTCAAAGGATCCGTAGACTTCTCTTCATGCTTGTTAGGAAGTTTCTTCCCAGGAGCCACAATTTTAGCAATCTTTTTATCAGGAGATTGTTTATCCTTCATAGTGTTACTGCAGGATTGATTCTCCTTCCCGCTTGTATCTCCAGCTGCAAACGAAGACGGATTTGGTTTCATGGTGGCTTGTTTCCCATTCATTGGCCTACTAGAGCAATGTCCAGGTCGATCAGCTGCTGGATCAGGGGAAAATAGCTTTCTACTTGATGCACTTCTGGCAAGAGAAGGTTGAGACTTGGGCATTGAAGTTAATGAACTGAACTCATTCTGGGATAAAGATTTTGAGCGTTGGTGTTTGTTACTTCTAGCTGGAGATTGTTCAATTGAATCATTTGCAGTCTCAACACTCCTTTTTGATGAAATGTAAACAGCTTCCTGATAGAGACCTTGCCTAAAATTCACTACTTGCTCTTCCAGCCGAACAACTTCCTCTTCCAAAACGGCTACTTCAGCAAGAAGTTCTAAAGTCTAAAAGAACCCAACAGAAAAAAAAAACAAAACAAAAAAAAAAAAACTAATTATTCTTGATTCAAACAAGACAGATTAAAAGGTCAATTTTTAATTATAGTTACAAGTTGGGTTCATCTGGTTCTTCCTATTCTTTCTTCAAACAGTATAATGTAATAAGCTATATTTCTCAATAACAAAATTTAAGCTATATTTGAAATAAATTCAGTGAGAATTTTTGCAAATAAATTACATGAAATTTCTGCCTTGCCTTGGATATAATGTATTGAGAATGGGAGACTGAAATCTAAAAACAATGGGAGACACTGAACCAAGCTTACATATGGAGGGAGATATGGAGGAAGACGAGGAAGAGCTCCTAAAGGTCTAGTAAAAGCTCTCTCTAGTGCTCTATGAACATTCTCTTCATGTCTCAGCTTCCTCTTCAATTTATCGACCTACATATTTCACAAAATTGCACATGCTTCATCCTCAAATTTGTGAATTTGTGAAAAGAAAATAAGCAAATTTAATGGGTGAGAAAAAAATGTACATCTTGTATCAAAGCCATTTTCCTTTCCCTGTTTGATCGTCGCCGATTAACGGCTGCGACTTTGCCTGCAGCAATTGCTCTCTTGCCCTGTGTCTCCATTTCCTCCTCCTTTGCAGTTTTTTTAATATTGAAAGTCAATAAATAAGGATAATGAACAAAAGAAACATAAAGCAGAAACTATTCGTTTCTTGAGACAAGTGAAAGAATTCCACTTCAGATTTGGATCAAAAAGGTTAACTCTTCCTTTAGTACTCAAAACTTCTTTTGGAACTAAAAAAAAAACGGGAAGCAATTTAAATATTTCTGAATCCTGAAATCTAATACAAGGATTTAAATAGACAAACCTTTAACCTTGAAGGTATATATTGAAAACATATGTAATGAATCAAACAAAAAATTCTGGGTAAGTCTCAATCTCCAAAAAAGACTCGTTTTCCCGAGAAACAAACAAACGCATGTAAGAAAAACTCTTTTGCCCACAAGAGAAAAATCAAAAGAAAATACGAAAGAAAGAAAGCAAGAAAGAAGAGAGAGAGAGAGAGAAAGGGAGAGAGAGGAAGGAAGAAGAAGTTACTTTACTGTCATGGTTTAAAGGAGCTTTCATGGACTGAAGAGCAGTGCGGGCTCTTGTGTTCATATCTTTATCACAACTTTTCTTTTCACTGGAAAATGAGACAACAATCTGAATATAACCCAAAATTAATAAATAAATACTGGTAAAATGTAGTTATCATAATAATTTAAGCAAGCTTTGAGTTAATAAAAACATGAAAGAGAAATTTCGTGGGTTACCTTTTTTTTTAACCTGTTACAGAGCGGGAAACTTGAAAGTAAAGCGACCAAGAAACGGAAATGTCTGCATGTTTAGATAAATAAGTAAATTATTGAAAGATAGATTCATGGTATTATTTTATATACATTCATATGTCTATACATGCATAGTAAGTAAACATATCTCGAAGCAAGTGAAAAACAAAAGCCCAGAGCAGATGAAGAAGAAGAAAACGACGAGAATTGGAGGATGTGAGCACCATCCAAGGATTGCGTAACAGATGGAAAACAATAAACAGAACTGGTTTAATGTATTTAAGAATTAAAAAGAACACTTACTGTTTTTTTTTTTTTCGAAAAAATAAAATAAAATAATCGATTGAATATGATTTTGGCTGATAGTTCCAGTTGAATATGATCCTGGGTGGTAGTAAAATAGTGGAAAAAGGACAAGTGATTTACAGAGAAAAATAATGAATAGGTTTTAAAGAATTGAGGAGCAGGAAGAAGAAACTTGACTCATACTCTCTGCATGTGTTATTATTACTATTATTATTAATAAATGTTGAGAGTACTTTTGAGCAAACATATTAAAAAAAAATTAAATTTCCATTTTATAAATATAAGTGAGATAAAATTTTAGATGAAAATAATATATTAATTTAATATTAAATTTAAATAAAATATTCTTTTATAATTTCTTAATTAATAACTACAAAATTCATTTTTCATGATTATAAAATTAAAAAAATGTACACATATATGAGTAAAATTATATATTAAATATATAAATTATAATTGATTTTTTACATATGAAGTAATTAAAAATTAAGAATTAAGTGGAGATGAATTCATTTAGGTGGGTTTTTGGCATTCAGCTTTTGTTATGTGTGAGAACCAGCTGGTTTCAATTTCTAGGTTGTGGCACCTCTCTCTGTCTCCTTGACTCTGTAGCTGTCCATTTTATGTTATTTTTATTTAAGCCATATTTTTTATCTTTTATACAGTGGTTATATATATTCTCAAAATTCTTGTTGTATATATTGTATCATCGTTTCATCATTGCATTCTCTCAACAAGCCTTGTCTTCATCTTAAGGGCATTTCATGTAGAAAAAGTATTCACATTTTAAATTTTTGATTTATTATGTATATATTAATTTCTTTTGATTAAACTAATCAAAATATCTCCAACTTTATCCAACGAAAGAATTTTAAAATGATAAAATATTATTTCAATCTTCCAACTATGTCATGATATAATTGAGTTTTAACTTTATGCATGTTATTATCAAGAGAGTTGGATTCAAGAGTTACAAGCTTTAATTTTTTTATTATAATTTCATATTTGAATTTATAAAATTATTTCAAAAGCGAGTTATATAATGTGAAGATTAACTTCAGTGAATTCGATAAGAAGTCAATTTGTTTTATTTATATTATTAAGATTATAATTACAGATGTAACAGCTCAAACCTTACAGAAATGAAAATATTAAATTATATCAACTATAAACGGAAATAATTTAGAATTTAAGTTTTATATTTCTTACACAATAAATCACGATATCCAATAGACATACGAGAATGTCACTTTATTAAAGTTCATAATAACGGAATAAATAATTAAAATAAAAAGAAATAAAAATCATATGGGGTTAACGTCTGCTGAACAACTCTGATGGAGTTCGGGAGAAAACCATTATTCTCAATGTAACGCCCTGATTTTTTTTTTTAATTTTTGTGGCATCACGATTATCCTGTTAGCATACGTGGTATAATATATATTATCCCATAAATAATTTCGACCATCCATATAGAAAATATTCAACACAAATCATTCAAATTTTCATAAATATCAATGTTATCAATTATTAAGTTTTAATTTACCATAACGGAAAAAATTGTGAGAAATTCTTACCCAGAATTGGTGTTCGAAACATTGTACGTTTCACTGGGCCTCCTAGTGATTCCCGGATTTCTTGAATTTTTCCTGCAGAAATTAAAAATATTCATCACGTATCCAAAAATACCTCAAAAGAATAAAATATGTATT